CTGCAACTTACCTGGCTGCTTCTTGCTCTGACAGAGGGCTGCTGGGAGCAGGGGGTGGGGCTTGTTGCATGTGCCCGCCCCCTGGGCTCTTTACCGCCAGAGCTCCGCTCCTGTGCGCTCCTGCAGGAAATGACCCCTGGTTCTATCTAGGGGGGGAGCTCTGCAACTTACCTGGCTGCTTCTTGCTCCGACTGAGGGCTGCTGGGAGCAGGGGGTGGGGCTTGTTGCATGTGCCCGCCCCCTGGGCTCTTTACCGCCAGAGCTCCGCTCCTGTGCGCTCCTGCAGGAAATGACCCCTGGTTCTATCTATCAACAAGCTTTTCAGAAGACCTTGTTCGAAGTTCAAAGAGTTGCAGCGTCCCCTTCCCACCTACAGTTCCCAGCTCTGGGTTGGGAATAAGCTGGCACTGGAGACTGGGGGATGGGTGGGCTTTGGGGAAGCAGCCGACTTGTGGCAGCCCCTCTCATGGGGTTTTCAGGGCAAGAGACGCTGAGGGGTGGTTGGCCACTGCTTGTGTCCGGGTCACAAGGTCGATATTCCTTGGTGGTCTCCCATCCAAGTAGTAAACAGGGCCAACCCGGTTTCGTTTCCGAGATTTGACAAGACTGGGCTACCCTCGGTCATTCAGGTCAGGGCCTATTAGAGAGAGCGGAGACCCCTAACAAGTGCCACAGAGTCCACTCTCCAAAGCAGCCATTTTCTCCAGGGGAACTGATTACTTTAGTCCGGGGAGCAACTGTAATACTGAGAGGTCTCCAGGCCCCACCTGGAGGCTGGCAACGCTAGGACTACCATTTTACACACCAGTGGAGTCCAGAATCACTACGTTGGAAATGCTTAAATGCCTGTTCTATTCCACTCCCTGGGAAACAGGAAGAGTGCTACGTGGCCCAAAGCCCAGCCCAGTCACAGAAAGCAGAGGATGATGGGTAGATTCACAGCAGCAGATTGCAGGGTCCGGGCCAGATGGAGATCTACCCCCAGTTATCCTCTCTGGATCCTACCAGCCTCTGTTCCTCAGAGGAACCCCAAGAATATCAGCAATCTGAAGAATGCCCAGCTCGTTTTCAGCATGAAGAACTGCCACAATGTACATGCGGTAGAAGGAGACCCGAATGGAACAATGAAGCAGAACAAAATTCGAGTCCAACAAAATTTTATTCAAGGTATAAGCTTTCATGTGTACACATGCACACAAACACTAACACCCAGAATTCACCTTTGTAGGTCTTCAAGGTGCCCCCGGACTCAGCCTTTGTTCAGGGATCTGAGAAAGTGTGCCTGCACACGAAAGGTTATACCCAGGCACACAAACACTAACACCCAGAATTCACCTTTGTAGGTCTTCAAGGTGCCACTTGGACTCAGTGTTTGTTCAGGTATCTGAAGCAGTGTGCCTGCACACAAAAGGTTATACCCAGATTTAAACTTGGCTGGTCTTCAAGGTGCCACTTGGACTCAGTGTTTGTTCAGGTATCTGAAGCAGTGTGCCTGCACACAAAAGGTTATACCCAGGATTAAACTTGCCTGGTCTTCAAGGTGCCACTTGGACTCAGTGTTTGTTCAGGTATCTGAAGCAGTGTGCCTGCACACAAAAGGTTATACCCAGGATTAAACTTGCCTGGTCTTCAAGGTGCCACTTGGTGCCACTGGACTCAGCCTTTGTTTAGGGATCTGAGGAAGTGTGCCTGCACACGAAAGCTTATACCTAGGATTAAAGCTGGTTGGTCACCAAGGTGCCACTTGGACTCAGCCTTTGTTCTGCTGCAACAGGGCTACCCACCTGAATCCCTCTTTATGGCACAGCAGAGATTGCTGAGCGGCAGCTGCCAAGAAGCAGTGAGCCAAGGAAGCCTGCAACCTACGCCGCTGGGTGAGCCCCGCAGCCAAGCCCACCCCAGGCGCCGGAGATCGGGACGCACGGCCAGGCCCCTCCCTGCGACAGTGGGGCAGCCACGGAACCTCTGCTCCTCCCGCCGGCCCTTTCCTCGGGCTGACTCCAGGCTCAGGCTTGTTTCTTTGGAGACTTAAGTGCCCCACTCTGGTCCCCTGTGGGGACAATGCTCTGCTCCACGGAATCCTCGCAACAACAGCCCTGCAGGGTAGGCGCGGCTGACAACGCGTGCCCGGCCTGAGGTCACTCAGGGAGCTTCCGTGGCAGAGGGGGAGGATTCGAACCCGGGTCTCCCCCAGACCCCCCCGGTCTGACACCCTCTCCGCGGCCACGCCGTCCACCGAAGGGCCGACAGAACCAGAACCCCTCCCAGCCTTACCAGGACCAGCGCGGCGAGGGCCACGGCCACCGTCCCCGGCACCAGCCACGCTGCCGCCGCCGCCTCCATCGCTCAGACCCGAAGAGAGGGACACGGAGGCGGAAGGAGGGGGGCAGAGCAGCGAGACGGGCGCGCCAGAGCGCCACTGACGTCCGGCGTCTCCTTGCCATTGGCTGCGACGGTCACAGAGCGCCCCAGACCGACCGCTCCTCACCCCGGGGGCGGGATCTGTTGCTTGTCTCGCTGCGGAAGGCGGGAGCAAAGGCGAGGCGGCTGCTCATAGGGCAAGCCGGGACTTGCCTCCATCGGGGATTGGGCCGTTTCCACCCCCCCCACCACCGTAGAGAAATAGGCGCAGAGAGGACTTCCGGCGTAGAGAGGCGAAGAGGAAAGACCAGGCCCAGCGCCGGGAAAGCCATGTCGTCGCTTAGCCTTATTCGCTCCTCACACGTGTGACGGGCAAATGATGTCGGGGCCCCTCCCCAGAGACGCCCCCAGGGGCCGCCCCTCCTTCAGAACCCTCCCCCGACCGCCCCTCAACAGCAGCCTTGGGAGATAGGCCGCCGCTAGGCGACGGTTGCCTGGGTCCCCTCGGCCACGCCCCCTTCCCCGGCGCGGGCTGCCTGAGGGGGGAGGAGGAGCCGGCCTCCGCCACGCCCCCTGTGGGCGGGTCTCCCGAGCCACCCCCGCGGGCGGCGGGAAGCGAGGCGATGGCGGCGGGCGGGTTCAGGTCGGTCGGTGGCGGCGGCTCCGTCTCCCGCGCTTCCCTTCCCCCTGGGAGTGCCGCGCGTGTCGAGCTCCCTCCTCTGCAGCACGGGCGGCTGGCGAGGGGCGGCTCAGCCCCCAGGGCAGGGCGGGCTGCTCGAGGACCCCCCCGGAGCCTGGCATCCCTCCTCGAGCAGCCCGCCCTGCCCCTGCCCTGGGGGCTGATCTCCTGGAGCTGGCCGCCCTCCCCACCCCTCCGCGGGCTGCTGTGAGAGACGGTTCCGCTCAGTGGCGTGTCGGGCGAGGGGACTGGGTGGGAAGCCAGCGGCCTCTTCACACGTGCACAGTGCACACACGCGTCAGTGGAGCGTTGGCTTGGGAAGGGGGTAGACCAGGTCCCCTGGAGAAGGGGGCTGCTTTGGAGGAGCCCCCACCCCGAATCTCCCGCCCGGCGCCGGCCACCCTTCTAGGGCACCCCAGGCTTTGCCTCCCAGGCCAGGGCCGGCTTTAGACTCGCTGAGGCCCTAAGCGATACAAAACCCAGAGGCCCCCCTACTGTTTTTAAATTACATCAGCTGGTCTCAGAAAAATTTAAAATATATACGCCTTTTTAATCATTTTTTTATATTGTGTTTTTATTTGAGGCCCCAGCAGATTGCGAGGCCCTAAGCTGTAGCTTATGTAGCTTATGCGTAAATCCGGCACTGCTCCAGGCCCTGGGTGCGCCGCAAGGGGGTTTCTCACTCGTGCCTGGAACACCTGCTGGGGAAGAGTTCCGTGCAGGCTCCTGGGATCCGACTTCGAGGACCCGGAGCCCTTCCTGCTGCTGACCGGTTTTGAGGCTGGTGGATCTGTCCTGTCGAGATGCATCCACGTGGGCCTGACCCCAAAGCTCCGGTCCGCAAATCGGAGAAGGGGAAGACAGCAGAGAGAGGAACCGTTGCTCCCTTGCTTCGGGCCAAGAATGAAATCTGATCTAGACTTCTCCCAGGCAAGCCAGAGAAGCTTGTCCCTGTGGCATTGACCAGCCCTGGCTGTCCCATCCTGTGCTCTTTTGCATGTGCACGTGCCCCGCCAGGGATCTGTGGCCTGAGGGAGGTCAAGCATCAGAGGAGTGTGCACGGAAGGCCCGGATTCAGCATAGTGATTCCAAGTTCTTGCCTCCCGGGTGTCCTGTTTAAAGGGGTCCCAAGACCATCTTTGCCTTAAGTTTGGTTTATTTAGTAAGGAAAATATTTATACCCCTCTTAACGTTTTGGCCCAAAGCTAGTTACAGGTCCAAAAATTAAAAAACACCCCAAATTAAACAAATAACATAAACAATAAATAAATCATTTATTGTCTGATTGGATTATTTTAAGATTCTACTGAATTTTTTTTGTTGAGAACTGCCCTGAGCCTGCTTGCGGGAAGGGTGAGGTAGAAATCAAAATGATAAATAAATAAACCCACCAACACCCCCCCCCTTTACCTCCAATGCTCCCTCTAAGCCATGGAGTCTTGTGAACAAAAATTCTACTTTGTGAGCTACCGGCATCAAAGTTGTGAGCGAGCCATTTGGCTGCTGCATAAATGAGTTTGCCCCAGAGCCATCCTTTCTGAGCTAAGACAAAAATTTGTGAGCCGGAGGCTTAAAAACTGTGAACCAGCTCACACTAATTCATCTTAGAGGGGACACTGCTTACCTTCTCTGTCCCTGGGGAAATGCTTTCAGCTCAAACCCCCTGTTAACAGCTCATGTGGAGAAAATGGCTTTAACAGGCCTTTTTGTTTGGGAATTCATTTTGTCCTTCAATCTGATTTGTTTCAGAACGGTGGAACCTTTGGAGTACTACAGGAGGTTCTTGGTGAGTACAACCTACATGTTTATTTTTTGGTTTCCCTTTAAACATTGCTGCACCTCTATTTTTCATTCTGATGGGAGCTCCCCATTGGCTGCCCGATTCACTGGATCTTAAAAATCAAGATGTCTATTGTTTTCCAGCCATTTGGGCCCATATCAGGCAGTCGTCTCCCTGCACGCAGTCCGAGGACACACTTTTCTGCTCAAGTGCAGATCAGGCGATTTCTTTCTTTGCCGCAAACAATCGACCTGCATGGCTGTTACTCCATGCGGATCCAGTGGCCCTGGGAATCAAGTCTCTTTGGGTCAGAAGGGAGTTGTGGGGTGGGGGGAGTGGGGAAGATCCAACCCTGCTGGATCCAATCCTGA